GATACAGGACCTCTGGGCCTCTTGTTTATAATTCTTGGAAATCATAGAAATACACTTAACAGTTCAAAAAAAATATTGAATTATACATTGACTTTTAGAATGAATTTTTTTCATTCTACTTAAAAGTAAAAATATATATAATAAAACCCATTTTAGCAGACAATCAAATTAGTTATCATATAGCAGTATTGTTATGTATCTATATCTATGAGTTAATTACTGAAAATGAAAATGATGTCGTAGAAATCATATATATATAAATTATAAATATATAAGATAAAGGAACATTTGTGAAATAATACAAAATGAGCTAGATATAGTTTTATGTTTTGCATGCTTGTTTTGTATCAGTGTTGTGTTAGCCCAGTATTTAACCCTAATGTCCCTAACTATATAACGTGTCTTTAACATATTCTGTAGCAAGACTTTGTTCCAATGTGGTGAAAAGTTAGTTATAAGGTTTAATTTTGTAGTAAGTGAAATTGAATTAATTCACATCCAAAATATCAAAAGAAAACACTTGGACATAAAGATAAATTATTAGAGTAATTTTGAATCATCACAGTTAGTGGTTAAATTAAAACATATTTAGATGTCATTAAACAATGACTGAGAGACTTTCTATAGTATTGGCAGATCTAAACAAACCGAAAAATAAGTTACCATAATTGAGTAATTATTTGTATGTTGACATGATCAGTAAATGGTTAGTTTGGAACAGTTACAATTCCCCTTTCTTTGTCTCCAGCTATATCTGAAGAAGGTTTTTATGAGATGCATGCTCAGAGAGAGGGTGTACATGAACCCAGTCATACACCAGAGCATTCACCAGAGATGGACCCAAAATATCTGCTGTGCCCACGGCGCGATGATGACGAGGATGGCGACTCGACTTGCTCACGCCTTATGGCCGCCTCTACTATATCAGCCCCTGAAGTGTCATTAGCTCCCTCCCCTGGTAACATTGGCAAGGTGAGTGAACCTCTGATACTCTTACTGAAATACCAGTATCTGTGATTGGTAAGGCATATCTTTGGTTGGTAAGGGGAATAGGGTTGAGGCAAGTATCTATGGACAGGGTATATTTGGCTGATACTGTAAAAATGGTTATTTTACATTTGCTGAATTAGTGCAGACAGAACATACTGATATATCATAAAATAGTTATGTTATAGCAGCCTTGACAGGGTAAACAGTTCCACACCGCAGATAACTTGTTAAAAAAATGTTTAACTGTATATCGTACCTATGGTAGGTCTGATGGATCTTTTAAAAGATTACAGTCAGGTTTGAAATGGAAGGTGTATTAACTGGAAACAATGGGATGATAATCATAACTGTATCTTGTTTTATTTTCCAGAGACCAAAATCACTAGAAGACAATTTAAATGAAAGCAGTTCCACAGAGCCTCCACCTAAGGGAAGCCTTAGCAGATTTAATTCTGTCAAGCGCAAACAGTTGGAACGATTACGTCAGAGATCTGATTGGTTCCTTGGACCTGCTAATGGCCAGAAATCGAGTAATGGCCAAAAGTCTGGCCACTCAGGGACCTCATTCCCACAATACACCCGTGAACATGAAAGACTTGTGGCAAAAAGTTCAGGGAATTCCGTAACTAAGGCATCTTCTGAAGGAGCTGCGCTTGATGTCATGTCGTCTGATGTAGACAGTGTGTTTTCCGAAGATAGTCGTAGTGAATCGCCTGCATCAGAGCCAATACGGACTCCGCCCATTAGGGTTACGCGTGACATCATCCACAGTGACACTATAGTGGATACACCCATGATGGACATGAGTGCGAGTCGTGAGTCGCAGGACCTCAACATGGACGAGGATGAGGAGATGGTGGATAGCGAGGTGTGCTACTTTGTGGTAGAGCACAAGTATGGACACACTGAGTCCTAGCGCTCAACTACATTCATAGTGTTCACAGTTGATTCCTTCTAATATATTATTAGTTATTATTATTGTATCATAGGGAAGGCTTTGACGTTTTTTTCCAGACTTAAGTGTAAGTTTTTTCCCTTTTTAAGATTCTCGCCATTTAAGACTGTAAACATTTATTTAATGTACTCAAGAGATTATGCTGACCCGTGAGTATAACAGTTTTTTAAGAGACATAATATTGTAACTTTTATTATGATGGGATTTTGTTTTCTCTATGTAATACCTAGTGCGTTCAACAATTTTATCTGACAGACATGTTTTTACTGTTTTACATTTTAAATGACAGAGTGGGAAGGTGTCCGGACCATAGCGTAATGATATCATACACTATATTACACGATCTAACATTTTACCTTATATTTATCGTGTTGCAAATTCTTTTGCTTTTTACTTTGCTGTTTGCATAATGTAGATAGTGTTGCTGTAGCTTAAAATTCTTCAAATTCCTTTCCTTCCGAAAGATTACAACCTCATAAATTATATAAGTACTTGGTTGTGTTACTAGTTCTAACTAGACGTTTTGGTTCAGAGGAGCAGTCAGTGTTGTTTGTGGGAGAAAAAGTCCTGTTTAAGGTTGAGGCAATGATGGACCAGATAGGAGAAATACTGATAGAAGATTGAACCGATAAGCATGGCCTGGGACCACAAAACAACATCAATTTTCTTTATATAAAAATGTTTTAATATTTGATATTTACCGCACATTCTCATGTTTCAACACCTTAAACAGTTAGCTCCCCTGAAACAGAATTCTCCTTTCCTGAAAACACTGACTGAAAGATCTCAACAAGTGCAATATATGCCTAAAATCATTTGAAATGTGTTTTAGAAAGTCCCTTGTGTTATGAATATACATCCATGTACATTTATTTTAAAAAGCTTTTTTTAGTATACATTTCTTTCTGTGTTCTAGAAAAAATTAGACTGTTGTCTTCAAGTTCGGCAGCTTATGATTCTCAGCATAAAATCAGTTTATCCATTTCTTTATTAATATTTTTTCTGTAATAGGGAAAATACAAAATTTTTGTAGCTGATTATGAAAATAAGTTTGATTTTCACAAAGAAATTGAAACATGCCTGAGAAACTACAACATCGACTGCAGACATCATTTAGTGATATAATGGATACCAAAATCAATTCAAGTGTTCTACTCCGTGGAGATATCTAGAGACCTAGTAAAGCTTAGTCAATGTAGTTACAGTTCTAGGTTGTTTACGCCGGAATCTGGAAACATTGTATTCATGTGGGGTAAATGCAATGACATTTGTACAGGTGTAGATACTGTACACAATCCTTACCTATACTGTAGTGAAACACTTCTCCAGGTATTTAGTTTGAAAACAATTTTGTTCAAAATCATTTAACCCTTTCACCCCTCTGTAACTTAAATAGACTCTACCATGCATCAAAATGGATGAGCCCATTATGGTCTAGAGTGGTGAAAGGGTTAAGAAACTGTTAACTCAACCATAATTTTCTGGAAAATTTAGTCATAGATTTTATTTGAAAAGGCTCAAATCAAATTGAAACTTTGATAGTTTCTTAGTCATAAATTACAAGTCATTCTTCATTGAACAAAATCACATCTTGCCATGATCAGTTTAATCATGAAAAACAGTTGTTTTTGGAAACATCCAATGAATTTTTATTTTGTTTACTTTTAATTCCAATTATATTTTAAATGTTCAAAACACTAAGTCACATACCATATTCAACATAACTAGTGCTCCAGTATTTGAAAAAAAAGTTGTTAAATTTGCTTATTTCTCACTAAAATTTTGTTGGGACATTCAACAATATTCACTCTGAAAAAAGTTTCGAAACACTTATCTGCCTAGCAGTAATTTAATTTTCAATATTAATTCAATGTGAAAGACAACCCATCAGACAACATATGAATAATACTGGTCTAGTGGGGGAGGGGAACTTAGTCAAAGCAGGGGCGCTAATTACATGTAATATGGTATCATTTTTTAAATTTTTATCTAAGCTAACACATAGATGCAATAAATATGTAGATGTATTTTGCTATTATTTTTTGTTTTGTTATATGCAGCTTGATCAAGTCTTGCTGTTAGTTTTGTTTAACCCTATAAGTTTATGTTGTATTGTTTATAGATACTGCAAATTAGGACTCTATCATTGTTTTTGCTGTCATACTTTTTTTTAATAAATAAACATTGTAGAAACATACCTTAATGTGACAAGTATAATATCATTTGCTTAGACATATGATGACCAAAATTCAAACGTTCAGTATTGTTTAAACACACTTTTCAAAACTTTCATGTGGTATACTGTATATTGGGTTGTTTATGTGTAATGCAAAGAATTAAAATTTCTGCATTTACACTTTCACTGTTTTATCCCCATACTATTGCTGTTAGGTCAGCGTGTGGTATTTTTGATGTGTGATTAAAAGTTTGCACAATTGTTTTGCAATTTTTCACCAAGTTAATAAAGTGAAATTTGACACTTGCAAAATTACTTGATATACAATATTTCCTAATTTGCAGTACCTAATCCAGAAAACTAGTCAGCGTGTAGCTTATGTAGATAACTCCACTCCATGTCATCCACCCTTAGCTGATTGTTTGGGGACTTTAGAAGTTTTTAGTACTTATGGATACCTCCTGCAGCACCTGTAAGAAAAAATACCTGGCTAAAATGAACTTATTTGAACAGCTTGTCATGAGAGATTTTATATATAAAAATCAAAATGAAATGACACAGACCCTGCAGTTATTATGATTTTATGTTACTGTTGATGTATATTGTACTGGATATTAAGATTTGCCTGTAAGCTTGTAGTCAAACGTTGAGAATCAGATATCTGATTTATTTTGTCTTTTGATCTTAGTTAAACAAAATAGGAAATCATTCTCGTAGCTGCATGTGAAGATAAAGCCTTTTATTTGAACAAAGTTTTATCAAAATCAATTAGATATATTCTGGTACAGTGATCAGATTTGTCAGAAGTGTAAAATGTAACTCAATCTTAGGAGGTAGATTTTGTTGAATAAGAGGCCATGATATGTGATATCGTCTGTTTACTTGCTTGCTTTGGTTGCTGAGTAGTTGTACTCTGAGCAAATAATCGTATAATGTTGTAATCTGTCTCAGTATAATTTACGATGTGGCAGGGAAATCATGATGTATAGCAAGTCCCCTTAATTATTTTGTCTAATTTTATCTTTGATGTATTGTCACTCTTGTTCAAATTTTTACTATATACTTAAAGATTTCATTACAAATATTCATTTTATCAATACAATTTAAAAAGGAAGCTTTCAATGTGAATGGAAGCGTATGTTAAAATGTAAAAGGATACATTTTTTCATTAGGTTGATATATGTTTCATACAATTGTCTGTCGTAAATGAATGTTTTAAGAGAATATATTTGTTTTTTATTCAGTATTCAGTTGACACAGTGTCTCTTTGTAACCCACATATATAAACATACATCTTCAGTTGATTGTAGAGCGTACTACAGATACCCTACTCTATGTCCTATACAGCTCTACTACAGCTTATTACAGAACCTACACCCTTACACATCAGGCTAGAACAGGCTACATACATGCACACCTTAAATTTATTTTATATAAAATACTAATTGTATACTTTTCCAGTTTGATATTTTTTAGAAAAGCTACACCCAAACAGAAGATTCTAGAATGGGTACTGGTTGTTGGACTCTCCAACACTGGCACTCTTATAGCCTATTTCGGCAGCATTCAAGCCTGTACAGTCTCTTGGTGTGGTGAGGTCACTTTCATGTAAATTTTGTGTTGCTTCACGCAGTTTTAGTAGTAACGCAAAACCTGAATATTGCTGTCACACTGCGGGGTCATCGCTTACAGTTATAGTACCTAA